TCATCCTAGCTCTATGTGTCCCGAGCCTGTTACATCATCAGTGACCCCTCACACCCCCACCATGGACTGTTCTCCCCGCTGCCCTCTGGGAAGAGGCTCTGCAGCATTCGATGTACGTCTATGTAGTCAGAAAGGGCTCAAAATGTTTGCAAACTTCTAAATTTTAGTTGAAACTGAAAAAATAAAAGTTGAAACTGAAAAAAAAAACATTTTGTTCCTTCTAATGTGAGAAAATACAAAAAGGAAACAAAATAAGAATTAAATCTAAGTTCTGTTTAATATATTGATTTATTTTCTTCATTGCAGTTTTAGATTTTAGATTTTCGGATTCAAATCCATTTAGTTTAAAATGTCCTTTTCAGTTTCAGGATTTTTTTTTTTTTTTTTACACATTCAAATCATTTTATTTTCACATTCAGATTTTAACCCAAATTTGACTGGAGTAGGCGTGGAAACGTCATTAACAGCTTGCAGGAGCTCTGAGGGATGTCCCTTTCAATGTTGCATGCATGTACTGTTGGAGCTCCAACTTCTTGGTGAACACATTCTCTGCAGCATTTATTTGCCTTTTTGGCAAAATCCTGTAAAAAAAATATTACGATAAAGACATTTACAATGGAACCATCACTAATCATCATTCCAGAATAGGTTAATATATATATAAAAATAGACAGCCATTGTATTAACCAAACTTTCCCACGCCCGCAGAGTAAATTCTGTGTCCGTTCATGGAAATATGGCACCTGAACTGAGTGGGTCAAGCTGCACTGCTAATCAGGTAAGTTTGATATTTTTTATAAACTACATTGTTAGTCATAAATAATGCAGTGAAATAAAAACCTTTAAAAGATTTTAAAAACATACATTTTTTATTCACTATTCTATAACACTAACTAAACTGGAATTAGCAGACAGACTTATTTTTAGTTAACTTTCTCTGAAATATCTCTATATCATCCAGTGACTAATCCCTCATATGCTTTTGTTCAGCTAACCTCAGAATTTTAGGTTTAAGGATGGATATGGAAATCAAAAGCTTATTTTAATTCTTTCTGTTCAGCGAATCTGATTTGTTCACATATCCTCTACACAGATTCACATAATAGGCTATATATTACCAAACAAAACCCATCTGTTTCTTTCTTTGAACCATGAAAAGTAAAACAGGTTTCCTGCAGAATTTTTGCATGGATCTTAGTAAAATTACTCCTTAACCAAAAGAATGGCCAATGTTCAGTTTGCTGGTTGGGACAACCAGATTTGTTTTATGTATTTATAACAGTTAATTCAATGTGCATCCCAAAAATAGTTCACAGGCATAACATAGTTTGTCATCATAAAACTCCAGCTTTAATTTATATTGAGGAGAACAGTTATTATGGACTTAAAAAGAAAAAGAAAATCAGTTTAAAATAAACAGGAAGCTATTGCAGATAAGGAATATTTCATCCTTTTCCTACGTTAACAACATTTTAATGGCAAGACAAGAAACGAACACCTGAAAGAAACTTTTTTTTTTTTAAATGTTTTCTCAAGATAGTATTAAAGGAAAATATTTTACCTGAACAAGAAAACTAAGGTCAAACTTATTCATATTTTAATGCCAGCAGCCTCACTGGCACTACATAAAAGACTACAACTACTTTGAATGATTCAGGGGAAGAAAAAAAACAAAAAAACCCTGAATTATTGATATATATTTAAAAAAATCTCAGGATCCTTGTTTTAATGTCAGAATTAGATAGTATAAAATATTAACACAGTGTGTAGCTCTATGCGTTAAGGCACAAACAGTGTCATCTTCTAATAGATGACAGTGTACACAATCATTTTAAAAACAATAAATGGAACAAATGGAAGAAAACAAGGCAAAGGTATCCCTGAGGTACAACCCAACTCAAATAAGGACACTGGGAATTTATTAAAACAGAATATCTGCTTAAATCATACAAGCATTATTGAAAAAAAGCCAACCTATTATTCCAGATATATGTGTCCAGGAAAATCAAACATGATAAATCAGACTGAATATAAAGTAAACTATTATACAAAAATAAATGTTTTACACGCTTGTAACTTTAGAATCAGGCCAAGCATTAAAATACATGGAACAACTGTGTTGCACTATATTAGCTTAGAACCTCAATTTAGTAATAATGAAAATCCAGATGGCTGCTTCTGAATAGGAGCCCAAATAGGGCTAAAATAAGGAGGAAACTAATAATTTTTATTGAATATTAAACATTTTAAAAAAACATATATTCAATTTTGGGTCTAATAAAATAAAATAACTTAAAACTTCTAACTTAAAAGCAGTAAATAACCATCCCCAAAAAGTTGAACCATATATACAAACGTAGTGCACAGGTTTAAAGGTACGTAGCAATATCCATCTCATTCTGGGGAATCCCAAAGGTTTACCAGGTCAGAAGCTAAAAGCATTATTATTTAACGTTAGCAACACTTTTGAGTGCAGCCCTAAATTACTCCCATGTGTGAAAGAGAAGCTGATTTGTCAATTTTTCGAGTAACTGCTCTCACACTTCATTGTTTGGTTACTTTGAGTATTGCACACAACCTCATTGCAAATAAGTCTTGGAGGATGAGGAAAAACTAAAATCATTAATTCACATATAGCCTTGGCCAACAGACAGGTTCCCAACAGAAACAAGCCTGATGATGATCAACCAAATTAGTTGATCGCACATGCCTGTCATATGCAGAGCTTGTGTTTTGAAAATCGACATACAAGGTCTGCCAGGATGCTGCAGATGTCGGGGACTCAACCTGTCACTGATTACATCATACACCCCAAGCTACATCAGATTGGCCTTCATGGCTGTTGTCCCCGATAACAGACTCCTCTGAAGAGGAGAAAAGACATCAAAGCCATCATGAACAACAGGGGGGATTGCAGCTTCACCCCCCCAACCATGTACAACTAAGAACATGCAATACTTGACATGTATTACCTGTGGTCTGATAAACCATCAACTGATCTGATTTAGATGGTGACAAGTGGCAGCAACAGTGGAAGGAGTACGAGAACACGCAGACTCTGCTGAGATTCATGCATGGTAGTGGGAGTGTCATAGTTTGGGGCTACATGTGTGCTGCTGTGAAGACCTACGAGTAATTAAAGGAACAATGAATGCCAACATATACCTACTGAAGCAGAGTAGGATCCCTTCTTTTGGGAAAATGGGCTGCATGTTAGTATTCTAACATGATGACCAAACACACATCACAACCTCTGTCTTAGTGAAGAAAAAAATCGGATAAAAGGAGTGGAATAGGCAAGCTAATCTTCGGTCCTAAACCTTTTTCAGCATCTGTTGGGGATCCTGAGATGAAAGGTGGCTTAGAACAAGATCTCTAACATCCACCAGATCTGTGATTTCACAATGAAAGAGATCAGGCCGTACTGGAAAAAACGCACAAAATGTACAATTTTGGATGTGTAGAAGCATTACCTTTATTAGGGGGTGCCCCTTGATGATGGAGCTCTACACCCTTTAAAGCTGAGCCTGACAACCTTACAGATAGAACATTTTAATGCTTGTAAGAGATTGAGTCTTACAATGACCTTGGTAATACAACCATCACAGCTATCAGACTCTGTCTCCATCATAAAGGATAAAAGCAGGATTAAGAGATCTTCAAAGTGCTCCATCCACCATCTGATGATATCCTTATGCCTCTTCGACACCTCCCTCCCCAAACCAAACAGATTTTTTTTTTTAGTTTTTTTTTTTTTTACTTACTTTAGGCAGAAAAAATTTACTTTATAATAGCTTCTAGCAATTCTTTTAACACCCGAGTATGTGATTCTGCTTTTCAAATACTTTCACTCCACCTGGCCACTCATCAGCCGTTTCAGAAGTCCCTTGAGGTTAGAGCCCCTGAAGGCCTTTTCTACTCAGCTTTGTGACTTCTACCTCCGTCTCCCAGGTGGTTCAATCGACCGCTCTGGTATCTCTTTATCAGAATGCCAGACATGTGAATGCAGGTCAGATAATGCAATTACAAAATCAGGTATCCTCTGACCAATTATTGGTTATAAACGCTCCAGATCTAGCATGACATATGAATGTTTTGCATGTGAATTGTAACACATATGCCTTTACATAAAATTACTACAGTAAAGATCCAAACCTTTTTTATTACTTAATAAAAAGGAAACCAGGGGAGTTTTGAGGATCCTGCAAGCAGATCTTGTACGGTAAACAACTCATTTTCTGAGGTGGTTCTCTGTAAAGTCAAGTGCAATAGCATGTTTTCCCTATTTCATAGGCAAAGGTATAATCTTTATATAATTATATAAAAATTCTATATAACCCATAACAGCTGGATACAAATATATGGGACATTTCATCCGTTATAATTGCATGATTTGTTTATTAATTATTTAATTACCTTTATGTCATTGGGAATGTACTTTCCTGTGTGTCTTGCTACTGTTGTATATATAAACCCAGTTATTTACACAAAGTGATCCCCTTAATTTTCATAAACCAAAGCTGATGCCAAAATAAAACCCTGGGGACTCTGGGATAAACTGTCCTTGACATTTATACTGCAGTCTGAAGTGAGAACTAATTTCATCACCTTGGCTTTAAACTTAAGTCTAGGTTGAGTTTCATTGGATCTGTGAAGTTGGATGTTTCCACGTTGAAGCTTTCTTTTATTCTATTTTATGGCGCATATTGGTTCTATGGTTGCCTTTTGAACACATTTCATTAGTTTTTAATCTTACTGTGAAACGCTTTGGTCAAAATTTTAGTTTTTTCTTAAATGCGTGCACTAAATAAAATTAGTTTTAATACAGTAATTGAAATTGCTACATACACCACTATAAAATACAGTTAAAGGTGAAAAAGGAAAAAAAAAAATTAGAATAACAAATCATTCAAGATTAACCGGTTCACTTAAATAGAACTTTAAAGCATTTTTTCTGAATTTATTCATATATTCATGCTTTACATTAAAAATGCATTCTAAGGCAGTCTGTTTAAAGTGGATTGCAACTAAACTGTAAACTTAAAGCACCATGCCTTGTACAGTTAAAGATAAATGTACAATCAACTATGAACTTTTAATTCTCTTAACACTTTATTTTGTCCTCTTCTTCCGCACATGTAGTATTATGCGTTTATAAGAAATACTACATATATCTATATATATATATATATACTGTATATACACATAAACATCTTGCAGTGAATTGGCAAACTGAACGAAAACAAGAAACAATCACAAGTGGAAAGTCTTCACTAAGAAGGACAAAAAAATACTTTAAATACTTTGTAATGCTATTATTATTATACAGTTAAAACAAGATTCCAGATGATAAATTACAAGCATGATGTAAGATTTGAATCAATTCCCACTTTTTGATCTGTAGCCTGACATGTTTTTCTAGATGTTTCTCTGTTTTAAAGATCAGCGTCTAACTCCCGCTGTGTAGTGCTAAAGTCAGTGCCTTGTCCAGCTGAAATCTTCCATGACCTCTACTGGTTCCCACACCTGTTATCTTCAACCCTTGTCCATCATCTTCTCATTTAATATCAGAGTTAAAAATCAGTTCTCTATAAATAACAGCATGGCTCTTTCAATGCTGTATATTCTTTCACTTATGTTTCTTTCATCTATCCTATCAGACACTGTAAGATTTAATTTTAAACTAAAAAAACAAACAAAAAACTTGTTTTTGTTTTCATTTTTGTCACTCTGGGCTCTTGCGACCAGTTTTGGTGAGGACCAGGTTCAGTTCATTGAGCAGATTAGGGGGCATACTTCCCCCGACACCCGTAGGTTTTTTGCTGGGCATCTTATTGCTGGCTTGAGGTAAAACAGGCAATGTCATGGGTTTCATGTGTCTTGGGATGGATGGAGGTGGCAGTGGTTGAGGTAGGCAAATGTCCATGGAGGTTCTACGTTGGGACACCTCTCTGGTCTCGGATGGGTTGCCGGGTTTTAAATATTTGGGTATGCTTTGGGTTTTTAGGTGAACACCGGGGTTTTTGGCTGTCCTCCAGTCGGTATCACCAAGGGAAACCCTCCTATCAGTCATCTGCAGGAAAAATGAGGACAGTTGCAGGATAACACCCTTTAAGAAAAAAAACAACTGAATAATCTTAATGGTTTAAGAACTAAATCATACATACATATATATATATATATATATATATATATA